CCCCAAAACCCCAAAACCCCAAAACCCCAAAACCCCATTAAGTATTCTCAATTTGAAACTAATTTAAATCTTAAAAAAGAGGCAGAAATGGAGAATGAACTAGCCATCCCCTTTATCAACTTCGACAAGAAGTTTGTCGTTGATGATAAGGCCATTGAATATCTATCCAGGTTTAAGCAAAAGATTGGGCTCATTGCTATCTGAGGAAAATACAGAACTGGGAAATCATTCTTGCTTAATAAGTTGATGCAATTTCCCGGAGAAAAATGCCCGCAAGAAATGGAAGAAATAATCGAAAGCCCCTCATCTGCTGGATTTGAAGTAGGGCCTACAATTAATCCATGCACTAAAGGATTATGGATTCTAAAGAAGCCTATATATGTTAAGGACCCGGAAAATCAGAGTAATCTAATGCCTGTCTTCATTATCGATACTGAAGGATTAGAAGCAATAGATGAGGACAAATCTCACGATACTAAAATTTTTGTTCTAGCTTTATTAATATGCTCCCTACTCATCTTCAATAGTAGAGGAACTATTGATGAAAATGCTCTAACAACGCTGTCCTTAGTAGCAAATCTTGCAGAGTCTATCAAATACAGTGCTCATGGAAGCAATGATGATGACTTAGTGAATCAGTTCCCTTCATTTCTTTGGGTTCTAAGAGATTTTTCTCTCAGAATGGTCAGCGAAACGGGTGATCCAATTACTACCAAGACTTACCTCGAGAACAGTCTTTCTGAAACAAAAGGAGGAAACGAAGCTGCCAGATCTAAAAATAGAATAAGAATGGCTATCAAGCATTACTTCAGAGAAAGAGATTGTCATACTCTAATCAGACCAACTGAAGAAGAGAAGAAGCTCCAAGCTCTCAACGATACTGATGACTCAGAATTAAGAGAAGACTTTCTTAACCAACTTAGTAGACTTAAAGAGAAGGTGTTCAGAAAAGTGAAACCAAAGAAGATTAATGGAGAATACCTTAACGGTCCAATGATCATTGAACTTGCTAAAGCTTATGTAGACTCTTTCAATCGAGGAGGGGTTCCTACAATAGAAAGTGCTTGGGACTATATGCGAACTGAGGAGAACTTAAAAGCATGCAATAATTCTATCAACATTATCAAGAAAGAAGTGGCCAACCTTCAGACAAAGCTCCCAATAGACACGGAAGAACTAAAATCTTTCAGAGAAATTGTTAGAAGAAGTGCTGAAGAAAACTTCTCAAAGAGCGTTATCTCTGGCATTCCAAAGGAGGAAGAAAAAGAGTTTCTTCAGAAGATCAATAAATACCTCCAAGAAGCAATGAAAGATCTTGAATCAAGAAATACTTCAAAGTCCTCAGAGTTAGTGAAGAAACATTTCGAAAAGAATTTCAAAAACATTGTGCGCCAAAATTTGCGTGAGGATAAATATCCCACTTACGAAGACTACGAAAAAGATCTTGAAACTTTCAAGGAAGAGTTCAAAGAATTATTCCCAGGGAGACATTTTGAAGCCTGTTTGGATCCATTCCTACAAAAATTTAATTCCCAAGTGCACAAAGACATCTCTATGGTGGCTACCAAGAAGCTTGAGTTTCAATTAGCCACTGAGAAGGAAAGAGTCAAGAGAGCAGAAAGAGAACTCATTGAAGGAAAAGAAGACCTCCATAAAGAGAAAGACAGGATCTCTAAGAAGCTTTCTGATCTTGAGAATGAACGAATCCAAAACTTATCTAAAATAGAAATTCTTAATGAGAAGCTCAAATATGCTAACAACGATAAGGGGGAGAAAGTCAAGATGCTTGAAGAGAAATGTCAGAAGCTAGAGGCTAAATTGGAAGAGAAAGAAGCTAAAATCGAGAAACTTGAGGATAAACTAGAGAACAACAACTCAAAAATGCTAGAGAGTCATAATAATATGGTCAGAAGTAGCCAACAGTTCATGGAAGCGAAGGATAACATGGCTAATGAGAACATTCAGCTGAAAAGAACGGTCGAAACTTTGAATAAGAAATTAGATGTAAGGATTTTTGATCTCACTAAGTCTAATTTTTTATTATAGGAGATGAAATTTAAATCTAAGGAAGAAGATCTTGTCAATAACATCATCGAGAAAGTTTCTTCTAAGAATGATGAAGAAAATAGGAAAATACTACAGGAGAATACTCTTCTTAAAGACAAGATTTCTAAAATTCAGGAAGCATATGATACTCTTGATGAGCAGTACAGGAATGCTTGTGAGCAGCATGAAGAGAATAAGAGTGTACTAGAGAACCTTCTCTCAGCAGTAAAATCAAAAATGAACAAAAAAGAGAGAGAAAGAACATCTCTAGTTGAGATCAACAAGCACTTAAATCAATTTGTCAGAACTCAAGACCAAAAGAACATTGAGCTTGAAAACAAGATTGATTCGATGAAAAGATTCAAGACCTCTGTAAAAAGCTCATGTGCTCTACAATGCAAAGGATGCAAAAAGACATTCGAAACTGCTTTGTTCTCAGCCCATGCAAGCTTATGCCCCCTTCTTGAACATAACGGACTAAACCTTGAAGTACAAGAATGTAATGTCGTTACTAACCAGTCTACTAAAGAGATGCACTATGTTTATAAGATGATGGTCTCCTTTGCTGGAGACTCCTGGCTAGAAAACAAGACATATAAAGAATTTTACAAGTTCCATAAGAAGCTGCTAACTCTATTCCCGAAGGACGAATTTTTAGGTGAATTTGACTTTGAAAAATTTGATAAATATTCATCAGACACTGGCGATCAGAAACAACATCTCAGCCAACAAAGGCTACTGTTCCTTCAAGATTATACCAGGGTATTGAACAAAGCATATTTTTGCCATTCAGATTACTTAAAACTTGTGTTTGACAGTAATATTTGTGACGAGTCATCTCTTACTCAGCAGAGTAGTAGCGCAATGCTCCACATAGTAAGATCTAAACCAGCAGTGACTCAACCAAACAATTTCGGAACTTCCAGCTCCTTAAACCCCTCTACAACCAGACTTTCCGACACCGAAAAGTAAGCTACCCCTTCATCCCCTCTTCTCAACCCCATTCCTCCTAAAATCCTTCTGCTTCCATTTTCCCTTCTAATCTCTTCTAGAAAACCCAAAGAAGAAAAGTACATTTCCTTCCTCTCAATGTCCAAGACTGTTAGAAAAGATAGCTGTTCTTACAGAAACTAATTTGTTAAGCATCAATTCTATAAATTGCAAAAGGGGTTTTGGGGTTTTGGGGTTTTGGGG